TAGTTTATAAGTTAAATATTTAGTTTATAAACTATGACATTTATAAATGTATGAATCATATGGTGAAAAACTGACTTTGAAAAATAAATCTGTTCTTTTTTCTAATAAAAGGCTAAATAAAACAAAAATATTGGTGGTTATTTTTGACTGTGTTACAACTTTACAAACGGCACCCCATAATACAACCTCAAAGTGGACATGAGTTAAAAAGGTAGATTTGTGAACTGAACCTCCATTAGTTTCATTGTTGGGTCAAAAGGGCCTCAACAAGTCTGCAGCAACAAGCTTCACTGTACAGCTCAAAGATTAGTTTGGATTCTCGTCTCCCTGTCTGGAGGTTGAGTTTCATGGCACATTCCAAACTCAGTCGGTGGTATTGTAGAGTCACAGCAGGCTGAGAGAGGCCACTGCTCAAAAATGGACTTAGTGACTGAAGAATAGCATGATATAGACAATAATATACAGCTTTTCTGAAGCAGAAAACAATCTGATCGTAGGATCTATTCCAACAACTCACTCAATGGGATTTCTATAAAATCGTTGGAAAACGCTATTTTAGAGTTCAAAACATTTGTCGGTTAAATTCTCCTGGTTGTTGTTTTAAGTCAATTAAGGTTCTTGGTTTTTTTAGTGCCCATCGCTGCAAAGAGACCTCAGAAGCCCAGAAGGTTGAAGACTCAGCAAAGGAGATCTGCCACAGTAAGGCTCCTCTCTCAAGCATTTTACCTGCTGTATGTCCAAGAGATCATAAAACAAAAGCCCTYAACAGTGTTTCATAGGGGTTTTTATTTATGTTGCGAAAAAAGTTTTTTTTCTTCAGTAGAGTTGTAATTGAAATACATGCAAGAGGGAATTTGTTTCACGGCCGCATGATTGTCTACCAGAGTTTATTGCCATCCCTTCATTCAGTTATGAGCTTGATAATTCTATTTAGCATTATTGCTTCTGAAACACAATTATTTATTTAGAGCCATTCAGTGGTTGTATGTGTACAATGAAAGTGTCAAACAAGAGTATTCTTAGGAAAACTGCACAAACTGATTAACAGCAGGGTCTCTGCTTGTGCTGTTTTTGAGATTTTTGTTGAGGAATGAAGCTGTGGAGATGTGTTTTCTTCGCATGCACATACGGATTAAATTAGAGCAATTAGGCAGATCTGAGGATGTTGGATACGACTCCTATTGTACCAAATGTTTTCAAGTAAACCGAATGTTCCAACAACTCGTGCAAAACCCAGAGAACAGAGTTTCTGCAGCTGGAAAACAGTGAGATGTTTATGTGGGAAAACTGGAACAAAACCAYCTATAGGACACTGGGATTCTACTATTTGAAATGTGCTTTCGGTGCAAGAATTTAAAATGTTTCTTTGTGTGCGAGCTTAATGTTTCTCCTGAAATCCTKTCCTCCTTTAGCCTCGAGTATTAAAAGAAGAAAGCCTGACGTATGCAGAGCTGGAGTTGGTCCGACCGCGGCAGCAGCCACCAGCCTGCTCCAGCCCCGACGCCACTCCCTCCATCCCAGACACTGTGTATGCTCAGATCCTCTTCCAGGAAGAAAAGCTATAGATTTGAGAGCTTGGTACCTCCTGGTGAAGGCAAAAGTCCAGTTCTCAWAACTAAACTAAACAGCATTCAAATGAGCATATATTTATGAACTATGAGTATGACATTCTCTTTTCTTTTTTTCTTTTTGTGATGGATGTGGAAAGTAAGGGCTTCGGGG